CAAATGCAGAATTTTCTTTTTTTTCTTTTTTTTGAGGTGGAGTCTCACTTTGTTGCCTAGGCTGGAGCACAGTGGTGCAATCTTGGCTTGCTGCAACCTCTGCCTCCCAGGTTCAAGCGGTTCTTCTTCCTCATCCTCCCAAGTAACTGGGACTCAGGTGTGCGCCACCACGCTCAGCTAATTTTTGTATTTTTAGTAGAGACAGGGTTTCACCATGTTGGCCAGTCTGGTCTTGAACTCCTAACCTCAGGTGATGCAACTGCCTCAGCCTCCCAAAGTGCTGGGATTACAAGCATGAGCCACTGCGCCCAGCCTGGAAATGCAAATTTCGTTTGTACAGATGATAGACTAGCCCACGTCCCAGCTCTAGTCAAGCAGCAGAGCTGGGATTCAAGTTGTTTCCTGCCTCCAGAACAGCTTTCTAGTAAGCTCCAAGGGTTTCCCAAAGTTACTTGACTGGTCTGTTTGTAACGTGTTTTTCTGGATAATTTAAGTTGCCTAGTGTTCAGTCCTATCAGAAACTACTATTTCAACATTTTTGAATGCCAACCATATGTCATTCACTGTTCCGACCAATTTTTGTATATCAGTACACAAAAAGTTTCTGCCTTCCTGCATCTCAGGATCTAGAGAGAGAAGACAGAATAAACTAGAAAATTATGTTAGATGATCACTGCTGACCAAAAAAAGACAAAGATCAAGGCAGAGAACGACTAGGAGAAAGGAAAGTGGGTGGAAGGTGTTGGAATATTAGAGATGTTCAGAGTTGGTCTCCTTGACATAATATCTAAGACTTGAAGAAGGTTAGGAACTAGCCAATTTTAGCAGGTAAAATATGGCTTATTGTTACTTTTATTCTTCGAATACCAGGTGCATATTGCTTAAAGAAGCAATAAAGCCATCATCATTCTTTTACTGAATGGCATGAAGCAACTTTGAGCCTACTGCAAGTGTTAAAATAGAAAACATGTTTCAACTTCTCACCCAAGAGTTCAGGATCACTTCATTCAAGTCCTAGGAGCTAAGTACTTGTAAACAGAAGTCCTAGGGTCTTAAATACACTGCTTTTGAAAACAGAACTATTGAAGTAGACGGCCGCACACTGATGAAAACACACCAGGAGAATGACTTGTCTTTTGTTAGTCACTGTTGAAAACATGCACACCTGCACAATGGCATAGTGAAATGTCATTTGACTACTTCTAAGGGTGATCACTTCCTGTTATTTCAAACTCTGAAAATAATCTAGCCGTGGGTACATGTACTTAAGAAGTGCCCATAACTGGGAAGGGAAAAAAAAAAAAGGAAAAGAAAATGAGGTAGGGCCCTACACAGGGTAACTAAGCTGAGATCATCAGTCACAGCTTTTGGAAGACAGATTCTAGTTTTTGTGTGTGTGGACTTTTTGTTGTTGTTGAGCTATTTATCAAAGGTGAACAAAGGGGTGGGCCGCTGGGCAGCGGGCACAGGCGAGGAGGGAATTCTCCATTACTCAGATAGCCTGGACTCAGAATCACCAACGGCAAAATGGACTTGTTCCTGAAATACTTGGTAGTTTCGTGCAGCTAAAAATAACTGAAGTTAAATAAATATTTGTAGCTTGCTTAAATCTGGCAAAGTAAAAACATCCAAAAGAAACCACAGCTAGAAATAGCTCATTATAAATTTTGTATAAGAACTAATATGAATTTATCAACCAGTTCATTTTCCAAAATGACTGAATTTTTCATTATTACAGCTGACGTGATGCTGTACCCATGGGCAGGTGGATATGCATGCCCCCCTCCACATACCACTTCAAAATTACACCATACCTGTTCTATCTGATGGTACCACCACCAATAGAATACAGAATTGTACGCTTAATAAGTGTAACCTTCTCAAGGCAACTGTAACTGACAAGATTTGTGTCCAAAGGGCCACTGAAGGGACCAGGGGACTGCACTGCATCACTCTGGGGGGCTCTATTCACATTATATAGTGATGAGGCAGTGCACGAGGCAGTGATCTTGTCTGCCTGGTTACTACTGTACATTAATCATAATTTGCTTTGTTCTCTTGCAATCTTAACTTCTGATTGCACAATACAGTAAAAAAAAATTAACAAGTGCATGATGCTTTGAAAGAGGAAAACAAGTCAGCATTAGGGGAAAAATCAAGAAAAGCAGAATAGTCTGCTGTTCATAAGTAGAATGATTTGTCTAGTCTCCCTCCACCTGACAGGGTAAGAGCCACACTGGGGAGCACTAAACCTAGATAGCACAGACATTGTGTGTCTCTTGATGGAAGAGGTTTCAATTTTTATACTACATACAGAGTGACCACGTATTTTGTCCACTGGGGGGGTCATGTAACTGTGAAATAAGGAACCACTAATAAATCAATCAGGACAATGGGCATTAATTCAAGACTCTCCTTGGCAAACTTAGGTGTATACTTACCCTACATATATTTGAGAGCCTTCTACCAAAGTATATCGAAGAGCTAAGGACTCACTCATCTTTGACGTTCATGTCCTACCAGCCTCCCTAATCTCATTCGACACATCTTTCAAACACTATCCCCAGAGAAAAGCAAGTCAATCAGAGCAAGCCAATCTAACAATCTAATCTAACATGGAACATCGGGCCAGCTTAATGAAGGGCTTCTTAAACTACTTTTAGCTCATGACAAGCCTCACAGTGGCCTGACGGCACCAAGAAGCATTAAAAGCTTGACTAGTTGGCCGGGCGTGGTGGCTCAAGCCTGTAATCCCAGCACTTTGGGAGGCCAAGACGGGCGGATCACGACGTCAGGAGATCGAGACCATCCTGGCTAACACGGTGAAACCCCGTCTCTACTAAAAAATACAAAAAAACTAGCCGGGCGAGGTGGCGG